CGAACTGAAAAACGACCAAAGATAACGCGACGATGCGTTCGTCGTGATTCTTTGAATCCGAAATATAGCGAGGATAATTGTTTGCGCGGAACGTGGCAACTCCGTCGACGACGGACAACGCTCCGAGAGCCTCGTTGAAAACCGCGGAACGTAAAAATGACGAAAAATCGGGAAACGAGTTGACCGTTGTTGAATCGCACGGCTACGCTGTTGGTGGAACGACAGGTGCTGGTTCCTACGCCGCTGTAAAGGTACGTTGCGTAAGCCGTTTGTTGACATTGAAAAATATACATATACATATCATACGTTGGACAATCGTTGACGAAAAATAAAAAAAAAATTACGACGGAAGATCGCGAGATCTGATCGGCACGATTGTCGAGTAGCGATAAAGATCGTTTCAAAGTTTCGAGCACCTGGCGACTTGGTTTGAAAAAGTTCTTGCCTCGCGAGATACGAGTTGCGAAAGGTTCGAAACGTCCGAATCTAATCTCGTTTTCCCCGAGCGATCGAAACGACCCGCCGGTTGGTCGATTTGTCGTATCGTTTGCAGAAACGATTCTAGCTCCTGTCTTTTCGCCGCGATTATCGCGCGACGCTTGATCGACGCGCAAATACCGTTTGACGTTTAGCGTTTGCATCGTCGTGGAATACGCTCGATGCGGTAGTTTGTTGGATGTCGCGAGGCGCGATACGTTCGTCGACGAATCTCGTAGTCGCCGATGGTTTCGACGATTGTTGGAAGCTATCGCCTATTGTCGCGAACGCGGTGTCGTCGTCCACGGGTAAAAGAACCTTCAACCTGAGAAAGAAAGAAGGAAAAAGTCGAGTGTCGCTCGACTGCGTGACCGTTTTACTTCAGAGACGTCGAGTGCGAAAATCTTTCGATGGATCGGAATTTAAACGTCGAATTGTCAGATTTTGGATTCGCGCGTGGACGAACGAGACCGAGAAACGGTGTAGCTCCGTCGAGCGAAACTCTCTGCGGTAGTTGCGCTTACGCCTCGCCGGAAATACCGAAAGGCGTTGCGTATTTGCCTCGACTGTCCGACGTATGGTCCGCGGGTGTGGTACTTTACGCGATGGTTTATGGTCGCCTGCCGTTCGACGACTCGAGTTGCAGCCAACTTCTAAAGGTACTCCGGAGGTACGTCGAGAGAGAGAGAGTAACGGCAGAGTCTGGTTCGATTGAAAATTTTCTTCGTTTCGGCGATGATTCTACCTTGTACGTGATTTCGTCTCTTTCTCTCGCGACACGCGGCAAGCGCGAGACGAGGTTCCATTTCCCGAAGAACCGAACGTGTCTCGAGCTCGTCGTTCGCTCGTTTCGCGAATGCTCGTACCGCGACGGATACGATCGGACGTCGATCGTGTGAGAAACGACGTTTGGCTCTCCGTGTCTCTCGTTACAGCTCGGACGACTTCTACCACCACTGACGTTTCCAGCGACGTGATATTTGAAATTCTTTCGCACGCGTTGTCCGCCAAACGATGGTGGTCGCTGACGATGCTTTCTACGATTTTCAAGGATATATCTGCAGCGCGCGAAACGCGAGAGACGGCGTTTCGACGTTCCAAGGTGCGAAGCGCGAAACGTTCGACGACCGATGTTGGAGCGCAAATTATCGACGTTCGGTCGTCCGATTTGACGGACGTTTCCCGGGAAAATAACCGAATCGATACGGCCGATAAATTTGAAATAAATTTGAAGGATAAATCTCTCGACGATGTTTCTCTCGATGACGTCTCGTATTTCGTTCGACGCCGAGACGTTATCGCAGTTTATTATGGCACTTTTGTTCGTGTGTCTATATATATATCTGTGTGTGTGTGTGTGTGTGTGTTCTTTAGCTCGTTCTTCGTACTTGTAACTTGTTACTTTTTCTTTTTCGCAAAGTTCGATGACCGATGTAGTTCGACGTCGTGTGATCCGATGCGAGCGGTTGTTGGCCGGTAACGGGACCTGCCCAAATGCGCAAACCGAGGCAAACGCGGTACGCGGTGCCGTACCGCTTTCAGTCATAACGTGGAGTGATACTTGGCGATCATGAGCAAAAGTATCGTACCGATCGCAAAAATACCGGGAGCCGTTGCTTTGTGGATGTTTCTCGTATCGCCTGAAAACAAAACGATGCAACGTTTCGTTCGTAAATCGACGAAAGGAAAGAAACTACCTACCGTCGGTGTCGGTCGTTGGTTCCCAACCCAAGCTACGATCGATTGCCATTTTCCACCGTGAGTATAGTGTGTCTCGCTCTGAATGAAACGCCATTATCTTTAACGACTTTCTGTTTCCGATGAAAATTGCAAATAATTCGAAACGTACCGTTCTCGGTTATCGAAGGTAGAAAGACGTCGCTTGGTACGGCAGCGTCTATTTTCACGTCCCACTTGCGTATACCGTCTGCGTTCCCCGCAGCGATTGCAACTCCCAGCGCGGTAGTTTCGCACATCAAAGGCCTCACTTTCTTGTAAAATTTTTCCATCGATCGCATCGATTTTTCATACGCTCGTAGATTTTTTTCCAACTCTTCGCTTCCTCGAAGCGAGAGAAAAGAAGGAAGGAAGGAAGGAAGGAAGGAAGGAAGGAAGGAAGGAAGAAGAATCTCTCACTTACCAACTGGAATTCCACAAATGTCCGCTTGCATCTGCATTAACAGATTATTGGTGGTCATAGCACCGTCCACTAACAATTTCGACAAGGTTAAACCCGTGTCCTGCCTCATGGCTTCCAAGATGTCTCTCGTCTGAAAACAAACGGCTTGCAAAGCTGCTTTTGCGACGTGTGTGCTGTTAGTGTCTTCGGTGATCCCGCATATAACGCTGAAATATCAAACACTTTGCAACAGATGTGCGAGACGGTAGAATCGATCGACGACAGGTAGATCGTCGCGACAATCTTGCATCGGCGAGATGCGACCAGCCGTCGTGACGTTGCGTCGTTTACCTTCTCGCGTCTTTCCTCCAATATGGAGCGTACAATCCGGCGAATGCGGGCACGAATGTAACGCGATTCTCGTCGGTGGAAATTTGCTCGACGACGGATTCCGACTCTTTTACGTCGGACAGTGTTCCGAGATTGTCTTTCAACCACTGAATGACAGCACCGGCTACGGCTACGGAACCCTCGAGAGCGTATACCGGTGCTGTTTGCGGTCCTAATTGGTAAGCGACTGTCGTCAACAAGCCGTGAGACGAATCTACGATCTTCGGAATTATTCCTA